CTGCGTTGGCAGTTGTGGCGGATGTCGACGGTTCCGAATCGCAAACATTGTCTTGCAAAAATTGTATTACATCTTCGACAGCACCTTGTATTTCAGCGTGACCAACTTCCGTTTCTTCGGCATCTGCTTTGTCGGCAGCTGGCGATTCAACCACTTTACGGTTCGTCTTCGATTTACGTTTGCCTCCTGGTTTGCCTCCTAGTTTGCCCCCGCAGCCTGAGTACTTCAAACGGCTTTTTTCTGTAATCGCATGTTCATTGACAGAGGAGACGGTCTCCGACTTGCGTTTGTTCTTATTATTTTTACGCCTTTTCTTCACTGATGTCCGTGGTACGTTCGGCTGGTAACTCCTCGACGTCAAATGTTTCCTTTGCTTTGGATTTCTTTCTTTTCCCACACTTTGCTGGTGAAAAATCACTCCCCGTGCCACTGCACGATTGACGCGTTTTCTTCAGTTTCCTTCTTGCCTTCATAAAACACTTCCTATCTGTATAGGACGGCATATTAACGTACGTGTCGGAAAGAAGGCACACAGCGAGTCTGGGCTTTATCTCACTTTCTTCGGCCATATTTATACTGAACGACCAGATGTCCACAAGACTGCATCTCCCCACAATTTGAATATTTATTGTTATGTAAATAAATATATTATTTTTTCGAACACGGATTGGTTACAATTTGCATACACATAAAATTGCATATGCTAGGTCAGACGGTGAAATCACGTGGACTTGAATATTTCCTACCAGCTGTCCCGGTCATTTTACGTTGGTGATTGCCGACATTCCAAGCTCAGCTGTTGGAATCCGTCATGCTATTCATTCTAAGTACCGGGACTATTTGCCAAGCTGGTCAAAATACGTTACTACCGTTATAATCGTGAATCGTGTCGTTCAAATATGGTTGTAATGCTGCAGTTTGCAATGTGGTCAAGGCATTTTTTTTACGTCGTCGCAAATGTCGCGTTGTGACGGTAAAATAGTGAAATGAGCAGACAAGTGTATAGAATTACATTCTTGGTTAATTTATTTGACTTGACGGAATCAAAAACAAATTCTCTCCCTCCATGATTACGCAAGTGTAAAATATCAGGTTCCGTACAACGTATTATAAATGCTTGACCGTCTCAGCAACCTAAATAGCAGGCCGTTTTTCAACGACTCAACCAGTTAGCTAGCTGGAGTGGTAAATTCTAGCATACCCATGTTGACGGCGGTTTTTCACCGACTTGACCGAAAAAGGGGTATATAATTATGACCAATTATTAATATTGAATAATATAATATTTTTCGTAATACGATAATATATATCCATTTTTATCAATGGGCGTGATTCAGTGATTCAAATTGCCCGCTGTAGATGTACATCATGTTAATAAGTATACAAATTAGCCATTAGCACTCACCAGATGTATCAGTCCAGTAGTCATCAAAAACATCAAAGCCATCGCTGTTTACCCGTGGTGTTTTCTTCAACACGGGACGACCAGTACGTCTATGAGAAAGTAAAACAAACAAGATGGAGTCAACAACTAGGACAGACAATTGCCCCCTGTATATCTTTCCCTATATTTACAATGATACAAGCCACATTGACTGCCACGGTGCCATTTCCATAGTGCCACTGCTGATTTTTAAAATCAAATTGATAATTTGCTGAAAACTTGTGTGTAGTTGTAACACTTTTGAAGCAATAACAGTTTTGTATGTCCATAATTTTGTGCATTGTGTACTTGAGTAGGTTAACCATAATAATAATTATAATTAAAAATTATGCAAATAATGTGCAAATTAGTACATACATGATTACCGCCACAGGGATTTAAAATATGGAGAGAACACTGGATTGCAATAGTCATGTAATGTTAAATGCCTGATGAATGATTCTACAATTCATGCGTACAGTATGAATGATAGTATATATACATGTATGCACACAACTGTACCTGCCAATGTTTCCACGAATAAATGGCCTTACTATGCCAGACTCTTGCTGTAAAGCCATCTGAAATATAAAATATATATATATATATATATATATTAAATTCATTTCTTTTAAATAATGTTAAATTATATCATCTGTGTTCTACAAAAAACTGAAAAAAACTGAGAAAATGCAGGAATTGGGGGCATTTCGCCCAATTACCACTTCGCCTGACCGGTTTCGCCCGATTGCCTGTTCGCCCGATTACCATTTCGCCCGATCTCCGTGATTTGCGAGTTTTATTAGATTGATAAACGCAGAGGTTGGCTTTAGGTACTACTTAGTGTTCCAAGTTCCCAACACCGAAGGGCGTACAAAGGTTCTGTCAATGGTCAATCTTTGCATAAAATGCGCTGATTGAAATTATTCTGCCAACGACACTACTGTGAAAGTATTTTATTCAAACACCGATGGTGAAACAAGTGAAAAATCTGTGTATGACGGCTGATGCATACCTGTCCCATTGCCTGTCGGCCACCCCTCTATTGTGAATGGGGATGACTACCAGCAATGGCAGACATCAGTTGCAGTATTTGCATCAGCAAGAAAACCCTGACTAAAATGCGATCATATGGTAGATTTTATGCATTTTACCAGATGTACATTTTGAATCAAAACCCCCAGGTAAATCGGGCGAAAAGGAAAATGGGCGAACCGGTAATTGGGCGAACTGGTAACCAAGCAAAGAAGTTCGGGCAAAGTGGATTTCGGGTGAAGTGGATTTCGGGCGAAGTGACTGTACCCCAAAATGCAGCAGCCTAATTCACTTAACAGAGGTCACACTAGCCTTGTTGCTAATACATCCCAAAACAGATGGATTCTTTATGTATGCAAGATAGTAAATGCATTGAGCAAATATCAACATATAAATGTAATAAATCCTTACACAGTGGATCGAAATGCTTTGAAAAAAAAATTTGGAACTTTATTGAAAGAAATAAAATTAGCCCCGAGAAATAAATGGTTTCTTGGAAACCTATTGTGAAATTAACAAGTGGATGCTGCTAATAGCTGAAATAGATTCCTGATAGTGCTGTCGTCGATATCATATCCATAATAAATGTGTTCCAAACGTTGGTGTCGTACTAAAACACCGAAGAATTCAAACGTCGATGGGTCAAAAACTCCCAGTGTTTATCTCGGGGCCTGGACGTCTAATGGCTGGACCACAGTCTCTGACAGCGAAACTGTATGTGATTTTCCGACTGTGTGCACATCGACTCATGTTGTAGCCGTATAATGTGAAAGATTGACTAGTAAGTCAGTGTGTAAACAGAGCAGTCAGGCAAACGTATTATAATTAGCTGCTAAACCGATAAAGCAAACCTTATGTTCTTAGTCACTTAGTGGTGCGAAGACGTAGAGAGTTTTTACACATTGACAGCATAAACAATTTTGTTTCGAATACTTTTCGCAACAGCGGATGTTTTTTGTTATTAAAAAGATAGTGGCTGTACTGTGATACATGAACTAAGCATGCCTACCGTTGTCTTCTTTTCTACATAGGTTATGTAGTCTGTATTGCTGTACGGGAAATAATATCCAGGAAAACAACCGGCAAAAAACCTTTCAAACTCAGCCGCCTTCGAGTTTCAATATGGCGTCTCCGGCCTCGTTCACAAATCAATATTTTATTAATAGTACTTTAAACACAATGTGAACCCCGATAATGTTAACATTATTGTAATATTGCGTTACAACAGTAATTCTTATTAAAGTGACCTATTTTTTTTATATATTTTGATAAATTGTTGAAACAAACTAAGCAGCCGTATTAACGTTACATTTTGACCCACGGGTTCAAAGCCTCGTTTTCACACAGAACAGTGGCGGCCGCCAAATTTGTTTACATTTCATACAATTTCCGGGAACCATTTCACAAAAAGAGGTAACGCTCTTATTTAATATCTTTAGTGTTGCTAACAATATCAGAAGTGAGCTTTCAATAGTTCACTGAAACGTAAAATGTAGTCTGCGATTTCCGAAGCTAATGTGATTTGATCAGGCAACATGACATCTTTGGTGACAACTACTTAATTGTCTGTGATCGTGGAGGTGTCATCGTTTTCATTGGCACCTTACTTATCGTTGCACTGTGACAATATGTGCGATGGTGTCTAACATTGATTGTATTTAATATTAGGTGCCATCGATCCCCAATGTGACTAAACTAGTGCCCAGTCAAATACATTCAAACGCAAAGCTGAATGTATGTGAATAAAATCCGGTGGTACAGGATTCGGTATATTTTGCCTCATACCTGTACTCTGTGGAGCCTATATGTTTTCACACACGAGCATTTGACCAAAGAGTAATCTTTTCATAAGACAAATTAAAATATATTCAATTCCATTCAAATTTATATTGCATGATAACAACACACAATAGCAAGTACTACCGGTAGTACTAAACAAAAATATCAGTAGTTGAAAAATACACGACATATTTTGAGTACAAAAATAAATACGTAAACAGAATTAAATCAGGTAAAATGAAAAAAAAAAAAAAATGTTTCATGCTGTATTAATTGGCTCTACTAAATGTGTAAGATATTGTTGGATAGGATACTTTATAATTTGGAACGTACACATTATAAAGTCCAATAGGTATCTGGTGATTTTCAGTTCCATTGCAGATGTGAAAAAACATGAATTGCCTATCTAGGCTGCCCCTTCCCCCCAACAAACCATTGTTTAAACGCAATATTATTAAATTAAAGAGACACATATGTACCTGTCTATGTTACACAAACAAACTTGGTAGCTCACTTTCACGGTTTTGTATCACCCTATTTCAAGGGCCGGGGGCGATACATAAGAATTCTTTTAAAAGATGGAACTTGCAACTTGATATGTTGAAAATGAATTTCATCTTCAAATGAAATGTTATCAATATAAAACCCATCACAAGAAACAGTTCTCATTAGCTGAAGCTGTGATCCAACATTTTGACAGCAAGCCAATGGATGAACAGTTCATTTTATCACATATTTACCCGGTACATTAAAAAAATCTTCCTCGCTTGTCATCAAGCCCTGAACTAAGCTGATTCGTTGATTTTTTTCAGTTTGGGTGCTACTATTTTTTTCTTTATTTCTTTTATTTCTTTTTGTTATTATTACTATTTCGTTTACAAGTCTAAATAAAAAAAATATATTATACCGTAATTGTAGAGTGGCATGTTTGCATGATCATGCTGACTGCACACAGTCTTGTACATGTTGGGCTGGATTATAAGCCATAATCATGACAAGCACAAAACAAACGCATTTTGTGTTTGTTCTTCTCTTATTAGTTATTACTATGAGTGGAGGACGGCAGTTTGTCAGGACTCTAGAACAATTAGGCTACAAAGGTAAACATGAACTTCACGAGGAAGCATTTGATTGGCTCTTTGAAGAGAAGGAGATTGTCAACTTCTTGGATTGGTTTTCAGAAAATGTCAACAAAGACAACTTGCTAGACAAGAAGAAAGTGGACAAGTGAGTACTCAATTTTTGCGCAATTTAATTAAATCATTATTTCAGATCTTACAAGTGTTAAAATTTTTTTCAAATACCCCTGTCTTGTATTTACTGTACTTGTTGCATGTTCAATATAAATCATATTATTATACATCTGTCATTCTAATGCCATAAGTTACAGCGTGCCATAATATTGCGATATTTTACGGGTATTTTCATCCTACCATATTAGGAAATGTGAATTCCAAATACACACGTAAGCGTCCTCTAATAATAAAAACAAACATGGCTGCCACCAGGGTTTGATCGGACCCCATACAAAGAAGTTCTCTGATTCTGTTCTAAACATTATGTATTTCAGCATTTCCATTATGTATCATTGGGAGGAAAAGATGTATAATAATAAGGTTATTTACGAGAATACCTCAAAGTATGCACTTAGACAGTATGCTGGGCATCGACCTCCGCTGCACGACGGTCGATACTCCTGCTGTACTGTCTTCATGCATACTTTTTGATGGGAAGAAATTTTGAAAGCATGTACTGGACTGATGTTCAAAAGCGTTGTTGACTAGCAAATTTTCTCCAATTGGTGTGAGAATGCTACGTGTGTTGATAGTAACGATCTCTAAATGTATGTGTACCCAGAAATAGGGACAAAGAATTATGTAATTTCTAAACCAGGGATTGAGGTGCATTCCAGTGCCTTACATTGAAGGTTGCGTTTTCTTGTTTTCACTATTCATTTTTCATTGATAGATACGAATCAATGAAAGCGAGTGGTAAGCTGGCAATACTAGATGGACAGCAGTTACAGGATGCAATACAGGATGACGTTATCGCTGATGATGATCTTTCCGATGACCAATTAAGGTATTCACAGTGTTTTTAATTTTGCTGCTATTGCTGAGAAGTGAAATCTGCTAAATTTAATTTATGCAGGGTTCTCCACGGTTTGAAAATTAAACAGGGCACGCCAATGTGAAGTGGGCGTGGCACATTTGTAACGTGCATCATTGGCATGGATATTGAAAAATGGAAATCAAATAATCTATTAATCTACATTATTACATTTGCATAATATATATATATATATATTTATTATTACAAAATGAATGAGAATTTTGAAGAGCTACTATTAAGTAAATGTCAGCACGTACAATCAGCTGATTTTAGCTGCACGATTCATCACGCGGCGACATCAGTACCAGTAATGATCGCGTCCAGAAAAAGACGTAATAAGTTTGTTAATTTATTTTACCAAATAGATACATACATGCTTTATTTAATTTTTAGCAAAAATTGTGATTTATATTTATTTGAACGAAGCAAAATAAAATTTATGATGTCGCACAAACATTCGTGAATCAGTGCCAAAAAACAAGATGATCAAACGAAATAAAATCTACACAATGGAAGATTTTTGATCTGCAGTTGACAGTTACTGTCAAAAACAATAGAATTATGTATAAAACAAAATACATACATAAAAGAATAATTTTCATTCAAATATGAAAGTTTGTTGATGTCTGCTTTTGTTGAAAACAGCAGTGACCTGGAAACAGTTCATTTTACTGTGTGCACCCTGATACTATGCAACGATGCTTTTGATTGTCCAAAGCCACGCATTGACGCGAAAAACAACTAATCAGAATATTTGTTCCAATAAGAACACAAGTAAATTTAATTCCTCCACTTATGGTGCGAGTTGAAAGCATGGCCGTTTCACTGGGGTTTTTAAATCATGATTTAAAGGAAATTCAACTTTAAATAGTGACATTCCTCAAAATATAAACATTTACATGTTTAAGCAAGCATTCGTGTGGACTTCCTTGTGATCAGCAATGTCTGTGATGGTACGTCGGTGGATTGGGCTTCTTTTTTGTTTTACAAAAATAAATATAATTAATTGTCTATTTGGCCTTTTTAGCATGATCGCGAAAACTAGACTGACCGCAAAGTACGTCGACTGCGCAGGTGGTTTACCGATCATGCAAGGGGTTGCATTTGTTCCGCTCGACGGCAATGTTGTTGCCGATACAATTCACGGTGTGAACTTGGTTTTAACAATAAACCTTATGTTTTAACGAATGGTTTTACCGATAATGGTTTTACGATTTTATATATTTGACGTCACCCCGGCAGTAAAAATATGGGTACGGTAATACACTTTTCTAGGCCACATGTTCATTTTTAATCGTGTTGAAAAACATGCAACCTGCTACGATAACAAGTCGGAATGTTCGCAGTTACACCTTAAAACAATGAACCAGTTGCTCTGAGCATGATGATTTATCTTCGGAAGACAATGAGTGATGGCCTGTTTTGTAAACAATTCTTTGTCTGGAACAAGGGCGCACAGGAAATATAACAAGGTGTTGACAATTTAAATAGGGCACCAATTTCAGATAACAGGGCGCGACGCCCTGTTAAAACCCCTCGTGGAGAACCCTGTTATGTTTAGATGTAAAATTATAATTTGTAGCATTGGGCTCATAATCAGTAGCAGTTCAGTTTTTATTTTCTCTGTTCCATCACATAAATTAACATTGTCAGGAATCAGGATGGTTTCTGTTTAATTTCTTTTTTCTGATTTCAACATGCTTTCAGTGATTCAAACAGAGTGACTACATTTAGCATGTTACTACAGACATATCTATGCATGATAAAATAACGTGTTTATTTCAGGGGATGGAATACTGATGTATTAAATAGAGAAAATACTGTAAAACTAATGATACTTTTTATGTGTGTCTTTGAAGAGATGAAATTCTCTGTCTGGAAAGAAGCTGTAAACACATGGCCAGTAAGAAAGAAAGACTTATCCAACGCCGGAATAAGTTGAGGTATTAACCATATTCCAAATTAAAATATTCAAATGATATGTGTATAGAGTTGGTTAATTTCCAGATAATTTATTCTGTACCCTCTGATCCGTGTCTTGATTGGCATAGTTGTGAATACATTGAATTTGCATGTTATCTTTATGGTAAAACTGTGTAAGTCAGCCAAATTGGGCTAAACGACAGGAAAATTGCAATCGTATAGAAATTATTATGTCGGTTTATTACTTTGCAGTAAAGTTGACAAACTTACCCAGTACCAAACTGCCTAAAGAGAGAACGCAGTTTTGTATTTATTTGCATGGACAATTGTTTATATGATACATGTACAATGTATTAATTACTGGCATTAACAGTCTGCTTTAGCTGCCACGAATAGCCAGATGAATCCGAAAAAAACACAGCGTCAACAGACAATGTGTTAACTACCGATCTGTTAGATTTGGAAAAGCTGTTACTGTGGAAACTATACAGATATGTGACGCTGTTGTATATTTTGTGTCATCTTCAGCGTACACCAAACTAGATTGAGTCATAAACTTACCAAAATGACTCAAATTGAATCAAAGTATGAGAGAGAGTTATCTCAAAATGTAGAACAAGTACGTTGTGACAACCTACAGGTATAGTATACTTTTTATATACTCATCTCACTAGTCATAGTTTACTAATTCCCTCTTCTACTCGCCTTAGTGGATTTTTGTTGCCATCAACTACACAAAACCCTGCACAAAACACTTTAGGCCAGGAAAAACAAATTCTCTGTTTCTCGTTTCATGGAAATTTCAAAATGAGGCTGCGAGGCAATTTTTTTTTTTGATTACTGAGCTAAAATGGGGGAAATTTGAGACAAGTGTGAGTACAAGCACATTTTGGAATGCTTTAGAAGGAAAAAAAAACGTCCGAGTTCAAAATGATGCGAGCGGAAACGAGAAACAGAAATATTTTTTTTCTTAGCTTATACAATGTTTGTTAGAATGTATCTGCAGTAGCTTAAACTGTATCTGCACTTATTTGTATATTTAAAAGTTCTCTGATATCATCACATTCTAGATTATTGATTTACATGATCAAAATAGAATCCTTTCATCGAAAGCAAAAATCTGCACAGTGAGAAATTTTTTTTTAAAATTATTACTACAGTTACAACTGGGAAAAACATTATTGCAAGTAATCACTCGGTCGATAAAATCACTGTGCTGTCTTTCATTTTGTGCATATTTTGCGGTATTTTCATTATAGCCTTATAATACACAGATATGTACAAGTTCATGTACCTTATTAACTTTATCATATACTTTGTATTGCCCAGCCTCATAATGCTATGGGAAGTGAGCCCTCACATCAAGGCAATAAATTCCCCGGTTTTCATCAATCAAAACAAAATGTGTCATTCTAAATTACGTTATGTGTTTGAGGTCATGCCGTGAAAACATTGTAATTCCATCTATAAGGTATATAAAAAAAAATGTATGGACTAGATACGGCTTTTGCGGCTTGAGGTTGTGCGACGTAATGCATCTCTAATGGAATTGCACATAAACCAAATAAACTTATGACTTATCTTGACCATAGACACACTTCTGTCATTAACATAAACCCATGCACTACTATTTGAGCAAATATGTATCAGCTTGGATCAGTAAAATATTTGGACCATATACATATTGATATAAACGCTACTAATAAAGCGAATATGAACATACTTCTTTCTTCTTATCACCAGATGAATACATGTTTAAGTAAATTATCCACCAACATTCATGACCTATGTCAGTTGTACACTCAAACGAATATGAAAGCAGATTCCACAACAAGTGATGCCAATTTCTTATCACAAATATCTCTGAATGATTATTACAAAGAGGAAGATAAATTTACTCAAGAATTAACTCAGTACACCAAAAGACAATTCTTCAAGGTAAGTGTTTGTTAGTATTGTATAAAATGCAAGGTAATTCAGGAATTGCTTCTACAACAGAGTGTTCTATAACCTCTGCTGATACAAAGCTATGTAATAATAACAGAACCCCACACCCTCCCTGTGGCTTT